TTCTGAATGTGCCTATAACGATATACAAGAATACATATACAGACTCGTAATTGTAAAGGTTTAAACATTTTATGCTCGAATTTCTCTATAAAAACTTTCGGACAAACTTTCGAGAAGGACGTACCTCCAATTTTTTTTTATGCTCTGGATTCTTACGTATTTTGAAAATTGGCGCAAATTTTATTTTCATAGCAGAAATCATGAAAAAAACCATCAAAATCATAGTTTGTTTATGTACTTCCGTAAATAATGAGAATTTTGAAAAAGACTTCAGACAGAAGTGGAAGACCTCATCAAAATACACATTCGACGTCCTATTAATTTTTATCAAGAAGACAATAGTTTTTGAGAAAAACGATATTAAATGTTCAAAACTTCTCATATAACTCATTAAGCACAAATAGTGCTGTATAAGCTAAAAACTTAAACCTGTTTATTCTAAAAAGCGGAAAACAAAGCGGGCAGAACAATATCACAAAAAATAAAAATAAATAATATAAACAATATCATAAAAAAAAAAAATAAAAATAAAAAATTCGAAGCTCTGCATAGACAAATCAAGTTTCGATCATTTATCTATGAATCATGAAGTTTCGAACATTTGATATCGTTTCTCTCAAAAAGTATTATCTTTGTGACAAAAATTAATAGAATATCAAATGTGTATCTTGACAAGGTCTACAACTTTCAGCTGAAGTATTTTCCAAAATTCCCATGATTTACAAAAATAAATGAAAAAACTATGATTTTTATGGTTTTCCCGTGGTTTCCGCTATGCAAATAAAATTTCCGCCAATTTTCACTGTCATAGCATATCAAAATACGTAAGAATCCGGAGGCACACCCAAACTTTCCTATACGACGAGTGATTTTAATGACAAAAACGAAGTCCCATCCGACATTTTTGCAAAGGAAATTGTTGTTCAGAATCGTCTCAGCTACCCCCCATTTCCGGTTCTTACACTATTTACGGGACACCCTGTAGAATTCCTTCGACATGTGATAAGTATTTTTGCAATTACTATATTTCATTGAAATTTTCCGCAGTTACTTCTGAATAATATTAAAATTTATTTTCTCGCGTTATCGGAGAAATTGCTAGAAAAATGCACACACTCGCCCGTAAAACGAGAATTCTCGTTTCCCGTCGGTGACGCGTTCAGCCTCGAAGGTTTCAGCTGTTCCACCGCGGTACGTTCCGTAATAAACATCCGCAAAAAGCTCGAAATACGCGAGCCGCCGGAAAAGTTCGCGAAAATCCGATCTGTTTATATGGCGGATCCAGTAATGAAAAGGCCGCGATCGATCGTTCGAGACGACTATCCAAATTGTTTATCGGACGTTGATTCGGTCGGTTTCTCGACGCGAGCCAAGCGCTCCGTAGCGCTGAAAAATGTGTACGCGATTAAGAATAACAGCCCACACGTGCTAGCGACGAAGAAAGACGTAGGGCCCTCGGTCGTCTCTATTTCTTTTTAATCTCGAGACGGCCGGGTAAGTGGCATAAAAGTCGCGACATATTCCCACGTCCCTCGTCGGTCGGGATTTCGATAAGCCTGTTTGCTCTCGAAAACCTAGTATGGTCCATTCGCGGTCCTCCTATTTTGTTTATGCTGGCACTGTTCAAATATTTGACGCGTCTCTCCCTCACACCCCCCCCCCCTTCTTCCTCCTCCTGATCTCTTGGCCCCGTTTTATTATGCAACCGAGGAAACGCCACGAGTTTCTGCGATTTCGTCTTTTTCTTTTTTTTTTTTTTGCGCAACAACGTAGGAAAGGACAGGAAATGGCGAACCGTCGTATCTCGTGTTCGTCTAAAAAATGCTCTCTTTATTCCTGAAAATTAGAATACATCGTCGGATACTTATACGTATAAATTAGCCTTTAAACGCTCGGGTAAGAGAAACGCTCGCAGGTTAACTGCTTGATCATCTACGCTTTTAGCGCGCTCATTTATAGGCGGTATAATAAATATTTCTAAGTACAAAAGCACAACTGTCAGCGTAGTAACGAATAGAGTGTTAGTAGCTGCGTTGATTACGCGACCTATGTGTGCTTCGATGGTCGTTGAATTCGTTTGCCGATCGCTCGATACGGAGCCACCAGTCCGTCTCTCAAGTTCGTTCGATATTCAGAAATTGACGAGGATTTAATAGGAAAGAATTCATCAAAAATTCATAGAAATTTGAAACAAATATTTTTGTTAGCATATAATAAAACCTCGTTGAACAATTTGAAAATATCAACGTTTCAATGAAAAGCCACATTTTAGTAAAAAATCAACAAAGTTTTAAGAAAGAAAGTTTCAGTTGTTTTTCATAAAATTCCATTTGTACGTTTAAAATGTTGCTTAAAGCGAAAATCTTGGCCCAAACATATGGGACGACCCGATGCAAATACGTGCATAGGTTCGACGAGATGCACGGTCTCTTTTTTCTCCTAGATTCGAATGAATCCCCGCCACGTGGTCCTCGCGACCGATCGAGTTTCGCGGGTTTATTTGAAGAGCGCGCCGTACACTTTGGTACACGTGGCGCATAACAAACTGGTACGCTCGCCAGCGGTCAGTTTATATACTTATTATATTTGGATCACGGCGGGGCACCGTATCGAGCGGCCTGTTTGTTTAGCTTGAAATTCTGCGCTTTGGAATGGCCGGCTGTCATGGAATGATGTCATGGAGTAAGATCGTGTCTCTGTTATGCCGTGCACGCGGGCGCCTATCGCTTTCTCGGTCCCCCGTAAACGCGCTGCCCGGCGACGCTAAGGTCAAACCGGAGAAATTCAAAGACGCCCGTTTCGACGGTCGCTCGAATTTCGACGGGATTTACGCTACTCGAGTCGCGAACTGGATGAAAAAGCTTCTCGAAACACGCGTGAAACTTCTCCAAACGCTCCAACGTTTCGAGCGTTTCTCGAGGGTTTTGCTTTTTTACGTTGGTGCGTTTTAGCTTCGAGTATTCGTACAGTCCGCTTTCACGCGACGTTCCAACGGGAGTATTCTAGTCTACGATCTTTAAAAAATCTATCTTATTAGGATCGGAAAAGTTCGTACGGTTCTAAACGTGCGAATATAGGGAATTCCTTTATGCTAGGGTATATCTTTATTCGATAATAAATTTTACGTCCTAACCTATACCCATATTTTTGTCGACAAATTTTGAAATTGCGCAATAAATAACGTAACTGTATTTATGATGCGTTTTATAAAGAAATTCTATAATTTTGATGATAAATCTTCAATATGAACTTTAATATAAAGATATCTTTTAAAGTATTCTTCAGAAATTACCTGACTCTATCGTTTGACCATCCGCCATCTTGCTGCTAATACTTTAATGGCCACTGTCACCGCGTATGTGATTTCACCGTTCCAATCATTATTTTCGTTATTATCCATTACGTTATGGTATTCCAACATTCATAATACCTTGTAATAATATCCCTAGCATCTTCATGTGGCTCAATTTGGTCTACAATGTTGGTATAAAAAGTTGTTAATAATTCATCGAAAGCAGTTAATAATTTATCGATTTAAATTCAAAGAAATTAATTTTAAATTTCAATTGTTATAAACTCGGTAATGATTTTTAATCACTGTTTCTGAATTTCTAATTAAATGTATGAAGACACTATCTTTGATATTTACGACAATATCGACGTGCTATCTGATGTAATAAAATTAATATTTTTAGGTAATATTTGAATATTTGTAAAATGTTCAATTTGAAAATATCAGGTCGAAAAACAGAGTACTTGAAACTGTTGTGAAAATCACCGATGAGAGACAATTGTCTTCGTGTGAAACGTGCAGCCATTAAAGTGTCAATAAAGTTATTAAAGTTAACAAAACGGTGTTTAGTTTGTTCATGTTCAACAAAAGAGGCTTCATTGAAACTGTATCATCAACAATTTTAAATATTTTTACATAAACAGAACTGTACATCTTAAATATAACCTCAAACCATGTGATGAAATCCGATATAAAAATGGCATAGTTTCATGTTTTAAATTCGAAAGAACACAAAAAAATTTACGTCCAGACTAGAATATTTCCTTAAACGTCGCATTATATTGCGTTCATATTTTTCTACCATTCTCTATTTATTTTATTACTTTCTACAAATCGTTTCTTTCGACGCCATATTGCTTACTGACGAACGCCTTGGCACAAAAGCTCTGACTTGCGTCACGGAATTCAAAGTCGTAATTTAAATATTTAATTAGGGAAATTACCCAGATAACTTTTGCAAATTGCAGCAATTTCCCTTTTAATAACGGAAAATGTGACGTTGGCCAGAAAAATGGCGTCAAAGTTCGCCACAAGCAGCTCGCAAAACTAGTATAAAATTTCGTAATCATTTCGAAAATAAAATAACCGGAACAGAAGAGAACCTAAAACATCAAAAATATTACGAAAAAATTTATACTCGTTCTCGGAGCGGCTTTGACACCTTTGGTAGAAACAGTGTCGAGTAACTTTCCGTGCATCGCGTAAAAACGGACATTCGGAGCAAAGAAACCGTCGAGTTTCGGGCGCCGTTCGTGTGCTGAAATCATCGCGACACTACACCTCTCTCTTCTCGTGTATGCTTAAACATAGAACTCCTAACGCTATAATTAATCGCTAACTGCTTCGCATATTTGGCTATTTTCCGACGTCCCCGATCGGAGATCGACGCGGACGTCCAAAGACGATTCTCGAATCACCTGGATCGAAAGATGCGCGCTCGAGAGAGGTATGTGGGTGTTCGATCCGAGCTGTCAAACCTCGTCAAACGCTGTATCTCGAATTTGTTAATTCGAAGCAGTTAAGCTTTTTGTCAGCGAATTTGTCAGCGTTTGTCACAGTTCGACGCGGTTTAACAGCCCCGTGATCGAGTACACCACACCCTTGGCGTTCGAACGAATTTGTTTCTGCTCGTACGGCCGTGAAAGTGTAAAATTTCAACGATACCTACGAAAGCGCGATTGCTCTCCGCGATATTACATCGGTACCTCTACATGTAGTGGGGCCAAGCTTCGATGCCAGGTACGTAACGTTGGTATTGCGCGTAAGACGTGGACACGTGCGGATGGCTCATCTGCGTGCCCGCGTGCGAATAATGCGCATTGTGGGACGAGGATATGTACTGCATCGGGGGCAGGGGTGGTTGGAGCTCGTGGTATCTGGCTATCTCTTGGGGCCTCTCCTCCCAGGGTGCCTCGGCGATCGTTTGCTCCGTGCAGTGGCGTTTGTTTGGCCTCTCGACTTCCTCCTCGTATCTGGAAACGAAAGTCGAAACGGCTTTTTCCAAAGGTTCGCGATCTACTCGACCGCCAAGCACTTCGACGCGAACGTTCGTTGCTAAAATTTATTTATTCGTTCGAGCCTCGTTCGCGTAGCTGTAACGAAGTTAGGTTTTTCTAACGACTGTGCAATTGAGCGGGGTGCATACAGTTATTGTATGCTAAATTTATGGATGTTGGTTATGCAGGGTGTTCAGCCATCTTCTGACGCGCGGAAAACGTCGAGCGTTACGGAATTTCTGGATTTACCTGTTGAATATCCACGGAGACGAGGTGGTCGTCGGGGCAGGTATGTGCACCGGTGGCACCTGCGGTCGAAGGTATTGATCCAGCTCGTTGCTCTCGACCTCACACTCCTGAAGAGTTAGGGGTATGTTCAGACCGACGCCTCCCAAGGTTCCCAGCCCGTTCAATTGTCCCTCCTCGATCGGTAGACCGTCGGCAACATCGATGTACCGGTAATCGACTCCGGATTGCTGTTGGTGCAGAGACTCGCTCGAGGACGTTATCACGAGGTCCTGGTGGTAGATGGTACTGTTCTGTTGTGGCTGATTTCCCTGCGCAAGCAAACGAACCCGTTGTTCTTCACAAACGCATCGAACATCAGAATCATTAATAACCCTTTGCACTCCGAATTATATTTCAATTTCGTTACCAGCAGCTCCCGACAAAAAAAAAAATTATTAATAATTATGTATAATTTTTAGTTTTATAATAAAAATTGACTATATAGTGATATCTTAAAATGAAACACAATAAAATTCTTATGAAATAGCCTTATGGTGTAAAAAAAAGTTATTTTTTTATATTATATTTTAAGAGGAAAAACAAGAATATCAATTTCATGCCTGAGGCTTCGTTATAAAGTTATTAAAAAATTTCAAATCATTCTGGAAAAATTATTTTCAGTTGCGGGGGTCAATTGCAATCATTTTTGGTGAATACACATACCTCCGAAATCCTATCCACGTTCGAGAAAAAAATTCGAGTAAGTACTGAAATTTTTAGACGAAATTAAAAAATTTCAAATCATACTAAAAAAATTATATTTAATTGAAGAGGTCAATTACAAGCATTTTTGGTTAATAGACATACCCCCCAAATCCTATCCACTTTCGAGAAAAAAATTCGAGTAAGTACAGAAAATTTAGACGAAATTAAAAAATTTCAAATCATACTAAAAAAATTATATTTAATTGAAGAGGTCAATTACAAGCATTTTTGGTTAATAGGCATACCCCCGAAATCCTACGCACTTTTGAAAAAATAATTCGAGCATGTATTGAAATTTTTAGACGAATTTTAAGAATTCCAAATCACACTAAAAAAATTATATTTAGTTACAGGGCTCAATTACAAGCATTTTTGGTGAATAGACATACCTCAAAAATCCTATCCACTTTCGAGAAAAAAATTCGACTAGGTACTGAAATTTTTAGAGGAAATTAAAAAATTTCAAATCATACTAAAAAAATTATGTTTAGTCGAAGAGATCAATTACAAGCATTTTTGGTTAATAGACATACCTCAAAAATCCTATCCACTTTCGAGAAAAAAATTCGATTAGGTACTGACATTTTTAGAGGAAATTAAAAAATTTCAAATCATACTAAAAAAATTATATTTAGTCGAAGAGGTCAATTACAAGCATTTTTGGTTAATAGACATACCCCTGAAATCCTACCCACTTTCGAGAAAAAAAATTCTTTACCGAAAATCTAACCCGAGTCCAGAAATGCTTCCCCGAAATTTCATGTGTACCTTTAAAACATCGTAACTCCTGAACGGATCGGACGATTTTAATTTTACGAAATGCAAACGCCGCGTATTTTGGCGAAGAATACGTAGAAATTCTAAAAATATTCGAAAAGTTGTTCCTTGGCCCCGTGAAGCGAGAAAACCCCCATAAGAATGGTCCAATTTTCAAACAGCCACAACTCTATCCCTTTAAATCATGCAACAAGTTGCGTAGACCACCCTGTATATTTATTATCATTAACCCGTGGTCATTATTTATTTCATTCCTTCCTCGAATCACCGGGTCATCCTCTGCAATTCAACCTTCTTTTATTCCCGATCTTTCGTGAAATCGAACTTTATGAAATAATACAGTACACGAATGAACTCGTCTTGACACATAATATATAGTTTATTATTCATTATTTTATTAACGTAAGATAACTGGAAATTGTTCAGGATGTAACGAATAATATGGACTCGATTTTTTTAATTCTGATAAACTACCAAAGAAACGGGAATCCCTGATCACCTGATTGATGAAATGTTGTCCACGGGGGGTGGTAGGAGGAGTCGGCGGAGATAGTCCTTGATTCGGAGTGGTCGGTGGAGACGAGCTGACTCCGCTCTGAGGCGAGTTGGGTCCTTGCGCGCCCCTGGGACTCATGTCCTCCTGTTTCAGGGACCTGGACACGTTGAAAGTGACGTTGCTTTGGTTCCTCGAGGGCGAGCCCTCTCTGCCAGATGGCCCGTTTTGCTTTCGACGTCGGGGTTGGTACTTGTAATCGGGATGCTCGCGCTTGTGGATCACGCGAAGACGATCTGCCTCCTCGATGAAGGGTTTCTTATCGTTGTCTGAAAGTAACCTGCAACCAGAATTTAATCTTCGCATGCTTACGACTGTCGTAGTTAAGCGTAACCATATCTAAGAACGACGAATAGACTGCAGATCTTTATGCAAAATCAGATTTTTATTAATAAAATTAATGAAATGGAAGCTGTACAGAGGGTCGTCTTAACCCCTAAATATAATAATTCGTATCTTATTTGAAGTATTTCTTATATATTTACGTATTAAGTGGATTCTGTAGTTTTTTGAGAATTAAATGCATAAACATCCGCAGTCTAATAATGAGCATCGAGTTGAGGGGTAATTCGCTCCAGATTAAAGGGTTCGAACGATTACTTTCACGCTATTTTATAAGTTTCAATAATTTCGTATAATTGCCTATCCCTTCTACGATTTAAAGCGATAAAAATCGTATGAATTGAGAATTTTTTGTTTAACACTTTCTTTCCTTTTTAAGTAGTTGTAAATGCTTCAAATGTATTCATAATAATATTATAATATGTTTATACATAATACATACAGAATGTGAGTCTCGTAACATGATGACTTCAAATAACTCATAAGTTATTGTTGTACAAAAAAATGTTTCAGATAAAAGTTGTATGGTTTTCAGAAAGTACAAAAAAGTATTAAAAGACATTTCCATAGAACGGCAAACAAATTGATCAAAAATCAAAAATCAAATTTTAAGGAAAAATCAACAGAGGGTAGGTGCAGAAATTAAAAATTTCAAATCATTTTGAAAAAATTATTTTTGATTGCGTGGGTTGGTTACGATCAGTTTTGGTGGATATACAAACCCCCGAAATCCTACGCACTTTCGAGGAAAAAATTCTTTAAAAGAAGGGTGGTAGAATTTGTTTGAATCTATATCTTCTAAAGAATATGGAATTATAATTATTTATACGGGATGTGATGGGATAGTTATTAAAAATGAAGGTAAAGTACTCTCCGTAATACTTACTCAGTTGATATACTTCGATATTTCCTTCTTCTGTTGATTTATCATTAAAATAGCTATTTGGAAATTCAGTAGACAAGTCTGTTGCGATTTGGTGTCGAGCATATCCAAAAAAAACCATAAGATTACTGTTGCGCGAAAGCAGCGACCAACAACCCGTTCACCAACTCTACATCCACACGTATTAATAGTTTTTAATCCATTTTTATTTTTATCTAATAATATATACACAAAATATTTAACATATTCTATACATCGAAATATCTACGTTTTCAAATATTTTTAAATCAAATAATATTACCTTTTAGCAAAACATTTAAACATTGCTCCTTATTGACCACAATTTTATAATTTTTGTAATATACTTGACACCAAATTATGAAGAATTTACCTTCCATTGTTTAAAATGATTATCTTACTGATAAATCATTTTGTAAACAAGAAAATATCGAAATATTTAGTAAATATTACGGTCAGCGATATTTCAAAGTTCACGCTTATTTTCAATAACTTTACCATCGCTTCCGGGGACAAATAATCGTGTATTTCATATTTTTTGGTAGATATTGAAGTTTTTTTCTATTTCCACCACCCTTATTTGTTAAACGATCGACGGGCAATTTCACTGGAGAACCCTTTCCAATATAACGTGAAATCCGTCGTCGATCGAAGCTGATTCACGAAGCAGTTACGGTTCACACGACGCGTGTGTGATTCTGGACGATTCGTGGCCGCGCGTATCCGGCACCAGAAGAGGCTCGGAGAACGAGAGCGTTTCTATCACCCGTACGATATACTCTCGAGGAGTCGAAATGGGAGGTCTGGTTAGTGTTTCTGGGCTGCGTGGAGTCTTAAGGGCGCAGAGCTGACGCACACGCGCGCAACTGCGCGGTACCGAGGTCATGGCAGCACGCTCGTACGACTCCGTCTCGTGTTAGTCTTTAATTCTCGGGTGTTTATGTTCCCACTGGGCTCGTAAAGCGACGGGCACGATAAGCTCTTCCGGTGTCGGCCGCGAGAGAGATCTCGAGGATTCCACGACTCTCGTTTATATTCGCCGCGTTGTCGTTTTCGTTACACGAAATTCATGAGACGGTGGATAACGTAGGCTACCGGTGGTCCCCGGGATCCAGGAACACGTCGATGGGATCGAAGGTTAGCTAGATAGCTAGCAGCGAGTGAGATACCTAGAAAGCTAGCAAGGAGTGAGCTAGCTAACAAGCTAACAAGGAGTGAGCTAGCTAACAAGCTAGCAAGGAGTGAGCTAGCTAGAGAGCTAGCAAGGAGTGAGCAAGCTAACAAGCTAGCAAGGAGTGAGCTAGTTAACAAGCTAGCAAGGAGTGAGCAAGCTAGCTAGCTAGCAAAGAGTGAGCTAGCTAACAAGCTAACAAGGAGTGAGCAAGCTAGCTCTAGCTAGCAAGGAGTGAGCCAGCTAACTAGCTAGCATTGGTGCTAGCCCGGGTGCTCACCGTACCGCGTCAGGAACACGTCGATGGGATCGATGGTTCGACGAAGAACGCCCGCCGCGAGAAGAAATTTAAATCCCACGAGGACTCGCGGCGCGGTCGAGAGGTGCTCGAGCCTCGTATCTCTCGAGTCGAAACGCGCGAGATGTTTTGTCACCGGGTACGAGCGAGCGAGAGAGAAGAGATCCCATCTGGTCAATGGACTTTGCCTCGGGGTTTTTTTTCCCCGGCACCGAAACGACAGCGAACCGTGTTGCAGTCACGGTTTTTCCACACCAGATGCAACACAGGGTCAACTAATTCAGTTCTGCGGCACTTCTGTGTTGCAAAGCGGTATCTACTACGCTGTAGATCTCGCACGGATCGCGGAGAACCGGAGGATCGGGACTCCCCAACCTTGATCGAAGCGTTCCGCTAAATTTCATCAAAATTTGCTTCGTTGATCTCTTCGGGGCCAAAATATTTAAACTTCCGATAAACAAGAATGCAAATTGATATTCATCCACGTGTTGGATAAATTGTTGGAGTAAGAAATCAAGGGTCGATCTATTTTTCCTTAGTCTTGTTTATCAATTTTGTGACAGTGCTACCGTGTTACATCATTGGGAAATTTAACTATAAACGATCGTTCATTACTTTGGTGATTGCTATTAGGAGATTGCATTGAAATTCGCTGTTTTTTTGCGATCTTTGAACATCTGTTTCAGTAATAAAATGTATTATTACCTCGAAGTATTTGCCCTCGGAAGCTATGGCTTTCTCTCATTTTTCTGGCAACAGTTGTATCACGCGACAAAAGAATCAAACCATTCGGTAACCCAATTTTTGACTTCTTCGTAATTATCGAAATGTGTATCTTCCAAAGCTTGTTGCATTGATCGAAAAAGATGAAAATCACTTGGGGCCAGATCTGGAGAGAACCTCCCATTCCAGCTTCATCAATGTTTGCTTCACAGCCATAGCAACATGGGGCAGAGCATTGTCATGGAGGAGAATCACTTTTCGGCGATTTCACGCAATTAATAGTCGTTTTTGCATCAAGTTCTGATTTAAACGCTCCAATTGTTGTCGATAACGTTCTGTAGTAATTGTTTCGTTCAGTTTCAGCACCTCATAGTAAACAACATCCTCCATACTCCACCAAACAGAGATGATTGCTTTGTGACCGTGGATGTTTCGCTTTGGTGTCGACATTGATGGTTAGCCAAGGTCAACCCATGATTTCTTACGTTTTATATTGTAAAAATAAATCCATTTTTCATCGTCGATCACCATATGCCACAAGAAACTCTTCTTTCTATGCTTTGCGAGTAAAGAAGTCGAGAAGTATAGACGATTAGCAATGGAATTTGTGATCAGTTCACGTGACAGCCATTTCCCTTCTTTCTGGATCCTTTCCATGTAATGTAAACGTCATGAGATAGTCGATTTATCGACTTCGAGTTGTTGAGCAGGGTTTTCTTCCAATAGAACTCTCAGCTGTTCATCTTCAAATTTTTTCGATTGACCTGGCCTTTGTTTGGTCGCGAATATCACAATTACCACTTATGAATCATCGAAAGCAATCTCTATGTCCAGTGTACCAATCTCTGATTCCGACGGAGCAGATTCACCATAAGTTTTCGCAAGCAATCGATGAGCTTCGACTGCACTTTCTTTTAAATCAAAGTAGCGCAAAAGTACACATCGAAAGAACAACTAATCGCGTTCCATTTTAATTCGACGATAAAAAAGCACTCGTGTAAACGAACAATGGTGCTTAATGACTGAATTTTAGTGGGAAATGTTTACACTTTAAAATTACGTAAAATTAAGAGACATTTATCGCTGTCCACAGCATCATCAATACTGTTCGTAGCATTTATGCACTGTTATCATGAATGATTTACTGTAGGTAAACGCGAGATGTATAAATAATTTTGTTGTCATTTCTGCCAAGACTATACACACGTTAAATTAGTAGACTGAAATAAATGTTCGTAAGCCCATGTAAGCATTAATTTTATGAAAAGAAATGCAATAAACATATATGACATATGGACCGTTTATTTTGAAAGTGGTGTAAGTCCATTTTTCTTTTGTTTCGAAAAAATTAAAGGTTAACATATCTGTTAATTAAAAAATTTAGTGAAACACCACTTTCATAATCGATGATTATGCAATTTCATTTACCGATCAATTTTAAATTGTACAAAACATGGGAATTTTTTAAGAAATTAAACACGGACTAGTTATACATAAAAAATTTACATTAAATTAAACATGAATTACGTGATATCTCATTTTTTCAAAAATGGATTTACACCACTTTCAAAATAAACAGTCCATATGCAGTATGTTTCAACATATGTGTTTATAAGAAATATGCAAAACGTATGCCATATGGAAAATAAAAAATATACTTTTAAGGACCTCTAGTGATGAAATAAACTCCTATCTAGGTTTTACTCTTTTATTCATTTCCTAGAAACATATGCATTTGCATAAACATCCGCAGTTTAATTATAATATTTCAAATAATTTAAATACTAGACCTTATCCTTGAAGAGGTTAAATAAGGATTGCAATATTCTGTAGTATTTTTAGGGT